CTCTGAAGTGAGTTGGTGAATGAAGGACAAAGGTTTGGTGCTGCTGTGGACGCCCGAAAGCACAACGAGGAAAACCATGCCACCCCTGCATGTTGTAAAGACACCCAGATCCATGTTAGTCCATGTGTATATATATCATTATTACCTTCAAATATCATATGACCATGTGTGATAATAAACTGTATGAATTCATTCATTATTGTACCGTTTAACAAATTAATTTCTCACCAGCAAAATGAGTTAAACCAGTGTTTCCCAAACGTTTTTTTCTGGGGACCTATATTTTAAAAGTCACAAACCTTCACGACCCAAGTTGAAAACATGATGCAAGAGGACCCCAAAAGAAAAATCTTGTAACCCACCTGAGGGTCGCAACCCAGTCTTTGGGAAACATTGAGTTAAATGATCTAGTTTTGTGTTGCTCCATCACCACATGAATGTAAATGGTGAACCTGTATGCTAAGATAATAGCATTTACTTTTACAAAATCTCTTTTCTGTAAAAATTGCTTGGTTTATATTGACATTGAAATGGATGATTTTTTTTTTTCAGCCAAACATTGTGGAGAGAAGAAAACTGGTCTTTTTAAACCTGTCCAGAAATACCAAAAAGTTTTTTTTATCGGTAATGGATAAACTGAATCTATTAATCCAGTGTTTCCCAATTTTTTTTTTTCCCATATTTTAAAAGTCACAAACCTTTGCGACCAAAATCAATAAACATTATTCGTAAACTCCTGAGAAACTGGAATGATGCAAGACTACCCAAAAAACAAAAACCTTGCGACCCACCTTAAGGTCGCGACCTAGTCTTTGGGAAACAATGTATTAATTGATGAATAAACTGGCCAAATAGAAGTAACTCGAAAGAGGTGGATTATGAGAAATGCCTAAACCTTAGGACATGATTTTATTCTTAAACATGTGGTCTATAAGCAGGGTGGCCTATATACTGCTTGAGTCTACTAATGAATTATACATGAATAACCCTCTGTAACTGTGGAAGGTTATTGACTGTAATTCATATTGTGATTGACTGAGTTTGAAGCCCTCTGCTCTGACCACAGCTGTGGTACACTAACTCTGTCTCTGTGTCTCTGGGTTCTGGTGGCGGTGATTCTCAGGGCCGAGGCCGATTAGGTTGGCGCCTGCGTGCTGGACCTCCGCAGCAGTCTGTAGAGTTTCCCCTGGTTGTACCTGCCGGCGAGCCTGTTGCCCCCCGCCTGGAAGCTCACCTCAGCTGACAAGTGAGCTAAGCACTGCGTGAGCTTCACCAGGCCCACCAGCAGAGCTCCCCCAGCCAGCATCAGCACAGGCCACAGCAGCGCCGACAGGGCCTTCCTCCACGTGTACTTCCTGTTCAAGATGACGCTTCCAGGGTTTTTGGTGCGGTCAGTGTAGCATGAAGAATTGCCGCCCAACTGGGCCTCCAGCGATCGCTTCACTCTCTGGGCTTCATCTTGAAGTTCTGTTATGTCCATTCGGCACTTTGGAACGTAGAAACACTGTGAGAGAAAGAAAGTTGGAAGCGTTGATTGCAATCAGTGAGCTGCTAGGGGATTTTTTTTCACTTTGTACTTTCTTAGAAGAACCTTCACAGGCACTCAGGCTATTTTTATACCCTCTCTGAGTGGGACTAAAGAGCGGCTTCTCCCTAATAACGTCTGCCGTCTTATTAAGACTGCCACGAGAGTCGGAGATATTTTTCTGTCCTGTCAGCTGCTGGTTCTTCTCTTTTACTGCTGTTCCAGGTGTTTTCTTAAGTCCCATGTATAGAAGGTTATATATAAAAAAAAAGAGTGGAAAGTCTCCAGGAGTAAAATTACCATCTGCCACTGAATAGCCGCTGCAGGGGCAAAAACGTTAACCTTTGTGCCGGACCTGCTGTTCAAGTAGAGAACACAGTGACATGACTAAGTATCTTTGTTCTCAGTATCACTTTTGACATTACAGTCTTTGACCTTTGAAAGTTCGGTAATTATGGTACTTTGTGTTTGTTGGCTCTGAGCTTGTACAATACCTTCCCCCCGTTTGGCCTGTAGGTGGTGCTAAATACACATTTGAAGGCACTGTTTCATGATTTCCATAATATTAATGTATGGATCCATCCTAAATTATTGACTATAAATCTTAGCTTGTAAACTTTGTACTAATTTTTTTTTTACATCCCCCAGACATCCAGCTGGTCTAAACTTTGTACTAATTTTTTTTGTTTTACATCCCCCAGACATCCAGCTGGTAGCATGCTAAATTATGGACGTACCACCTCGCACGTTGGAGGAGTTTAAGTGACGATAGAAACAAAAACAAAAACTTTCTTTACAAATATAAAATATATACAAATTCATTCTTTCTGTTACTGTTTTTTTTTTTTTTTGCAGAGACTTGATGGCTGCGTTCCAGATAGACTAAAGTTGCTTCTTCTTGGTGACATTTGCACAAAACACTCAGTATAAGGCAGGTATTTTCTCTTATTAAATCCTTGCCACAGTTTGTTTTTACACAATGCCAGAGCACAAAGCTAAAGCTTTTTTTTGCAGCTGTAACTAATGTAATAACAACATTGTTTGATTATTTCGACAGGTTTCTGCCAGGACAGATCCAGACCTGAAGCTCCCAGAACTGTAAGTTGGACTTTGACATGTTACCTGTGGAACAAAGAGAACTGATTCTTCATTGAAGTGTAAAACAGCACTTTGATTAGTGCCTGTTAGGTTCACCGTCACCCTGAGGCAGGGCACGGTGCTCACACCTCTGCAGTCCACCCACTCTCTCAGGATGTCGGCCTGCACCAGAACACAGCTGGTCTTTTCTTCCCAGTTACTGGAAGAACAAGAGCCAAGAGAAGTCCATGATTACCGTGATTGGATCAAACAACATGTGTTAACCACAAAAGATGATCCAAAATGTCCAAACGTTAGTATAGTGGCTCAAATAGAACAAGTTAGATAGCAAACACTATTTACTCTATAATAACTTTACAGTCAGTCCTCAACTCATGTCCGAATTTTGTTCCTACGGCGTAGCTGTAAGTCCAAAATGACATACTCTACATAAGTACCAACGTCGCTCCCCTACGATAACACAGTGGTAACATCAAAATGTAAAACTTACACTTGGGAGCCATAATGAAGGTCAAAAAGGTCCTAAAGAACATTTATGAAAGATGGTGATATAACCATGAAACGCTGTAGGTCGAGGACGTTGTAAACCGAGGACCGTCTGTCCTCGGTTTACAACCTTTCACCTTAAAGTAGCTGAAGGGTGTTAAAGTTAAGTGTGTTTTGTGACACAGGCAGGAAAACGTCGTCATACCTGGTGACCAGGGGTTTAATCACAGTCATGCTGACTACAAAGAACATGAGCACAGAGAAGGCCATCATGGTGAACCCCAGCAGAATGGCTCTGTCCTCCCCGACGCTGGACACCGGCACCAGGGAGCGAGCCCGCTGTCCTTCATCCACCCCTCGAATCCAGTCTGTGTCCTGACCTGCTGAGGTCTGCAGGAACTCCCTGGTTCTCCATATAAACACACACATACACATACACGCACGTTGTTAATGGTTTAATCCAGCACTGTTGTGAAACAAAGAAAAACATTTATGAAAGATGGTGACATAACCATGAAACGCTGTAGGTCGAGGATGTTGTAAAACCCGGGGCCCCTCGTCCCCCGGTTTCACCACTCCCCCTCTAAACTAAGGGTGTTAAAGTTAGCACCATGTGCAGTGTGTTTTGTGACACAGGCAGGAAAACGTCGTCATACCTGGTGACCAGGGGTTTAATCACAGTCATGCTGACTACAAAGAACATGAGCACAGAGAAGGCCATCATGGTGAACCCCAGCAGAATGGCTCTGTCCTCCCCGACGCTGGACACCGGCACCAGGGAGCGAGCCCGCTGTCCTTCATCCACCCCTCGAATCCAGTCTGTGTCCTGACCTGCTGAGGTCTGCAGGAACTCCCTGGTTCTCCATATAAACACACACATACACATACACGCACGTTGTTAATGATTTAATCCAGCACTGTTGTGAAACAAAGTTTCATTTTTTACTGAAATTAACCTTTGCCAATCAGTCTGCTTGTTTGCTTTCTTTCTCCCTAGAAGTCATGGACTAAGAGGATCTTCTAGAGACAACTCTGTTAGATGTTGTTTCGAAACTAAACTCCAAACTGTAAGAGCGGACCTTCCTGAAGACAAGCAGGTAATCTTTCCTTTCCTTTTTCCTTTTTTTTTTTTACTTTCAAGCCAGAGAGATAACCTCACAATCGAACCAGCCCTTGAACCTAGATGTGAAAGTTCACTTTCCTATTCCTGGTGTTTTTACCGTAATAACTCCTGACAGTGTTGTCAAACACTGACCTGAGTGGTTGGCCTCTCTCACCGTGTCTGCCTCCTGCGAGCACCCTGCAGGTTGATGTTAATGGGAACGCTGAACGACCTCCGGGGGGAAGTTGTGTTCAAGAACATCCCCGCGTCTCCTCACATCCACCTCCGCTGCAGCTCGGACCGACTGATGAGCTCCCTCCCTCAATCTGAACGTCGGACGTCCTTCGTAGATCCTTGTTGTTTCCTCAACAGGCGGCTGAGTGGATTCATTCACTGGGGAGCCCTGTGTTTACCACAGCTCAAAGGTGAGCACAGCAACACATTCCGCCCTTATTTGTGTCTCTATAGAAACCGCCGCAGGTGAAGCAGGTAGGATGCTAATGGTCTCTCACTGGGATCGTAAGGGCTCACCTGCATTTAACATTTTATCATGGCAAAGCTGACTCCATACATAAACATCAAATACAGCTGTTTAAATGGAACTCCAGCTGTGGAGTCGACCTGAAGGACAGGGATCCTGAATAGCAAATGATCTGTGCAAAGATAGCTGGCTCTTTTTTATCCTTTTATCATAGGAACTTATGACAGCACTTATACTATTGTGCCTTTTTAGCCGTAGTAACTGGGAGTCAAATTGAAGTACTGCCTTTACTTTTAGCTGTAGTAACTGGGAGTCAAATTGAAGTACTAGGGTCATTACTGTATATATTAAAAGTATCCTAGGTCGACTGCACTCACATTTAAATTCACTTATAGCCATAAGTGGACTGAATTTAAATATGAGTGCTGTAATGATACTATATGTGAAACTCCATATGTTTTTGCTGTAACACACAGACATGTCCAAAAGTGTGGCCCGCGGACCAGTCGCGGCCCATCTTCTGACGACATATGGGATGGCACCTTTATAGTAATATTACGGCTTTATTCTCATAAATTAACCACTTTTTTTTTTTCTCAATTTTTATTTGAATTTTTTTAAAATTCACAATGTGGCACCAGCGTTGCAGATCATCCTGTTTTTTTTTTTGTATTTTTTTTTTTTATATATACAGAGAGAATGATACCCAGGTTCTGACTAGTCCAGTCACTGCATCATGCAGTTTAAGTTTGCCGTTCAAAACCCTCAGGTATTGTGTTTGTGAAGTGGAAAACCCAGTCTCTAATGAATAAAGACTGGAAGAAGAGAATCAACAGAAGTTGTTTCTGTCGATAACCTCTACAGGGGAGAGGCTGTACGGTGCTGGCACATTTCTTCACAGGGCTTTTGATGAAACTGAAGAAAACATGATTAAAAATGTATAAAGCTCAGTGTACTTTTACCAACGCGGTGTAACAGGAGAAACTGCCTTGTTTGTGCTCCATGCCAGTTACTGCACTGTGGACTTTTAACGGAATTCTAACTGTCCTCGTTTGGCTCAACATCACACGGTTCTGTAGGAGACCCTGTACATACAGTACATGGGTTTCCTGTGTGTATAAGTGTAGAAAAAGAAGCTGGTACAGTGGTGCGACGGGTTCCTGTGATCACCACTGTCGGCCGTTGTAATTGGACACACAGTGTCTCCTGTTATCCGATTACTGTCCAGCATTTCTGAATGTGTTCAGAGACAGCGTAGGTTCAAACGCCACACAGGATGGAGGACAACCTAAAGAAGAATCTAACTTTCTTCACTATCGGACTGATATTCATGCTGAGCGGAATAGAGTATGGTAAGCCCGTCGTGGTTGCTGTAATAGAGATGAGATTATCGCCTAATTAGAGCAACCTGCCACAGGAATCTGCCTTGGCATTTTGGCCGTCAGCTGAGTTTTGACTCCTGAGTTGGTGTGAATTATTTCTCTCCAGATTTTAACATTTAAACTCTCTTTCTTTTTTTTTTCCATTCTCCGCTGAGCCCAGCTGTCATTCTGCCTACGATATGGAAGTATCTGCAGCTTTTGGAGGCCCCTCCGTACTTTCTGGGCCTGGGACTGTCTGCCTTCAGTTTGAGCGGGCTGCTCACAGGTCCGATATTTGGAATCTGGTCAGATCGGGCCAAATCCACAAAGTTCATTATTCTGTTTTCCAACTGTTTCGAGATTGCTGGTGAGTAAAATGTAGAGACAAAGAAGGCCATTCACTGCATTAAAGTGCACGAGGCTAGTAATAAAAAAAACAAAAAAAAAACATCCGGGTAAATGACCTGGGGTGTTACGGTGTGGCCGCTGAGCCCGTGCTCCTTGACCTGGTCAGCCTTAGGGGGAGAAGGGAAATGTTTTATGTTGTTAAGAATGAGCTTTCAGTTCCATAAATTTGCTCTATATACTTTGAAATCTTTGAAATGATATATACATTTTCTTTTTTCTTTTTTTTTTTTTATTATTTCCAAAAGTGTACTAAAACACGATCCTTCAGAATGGGCTGTTATGACAGATTGTCTGATTTGATTTGCCTCTCGTACGGTGAGTTCCTACGGTGCTGTAACATGTAGTAAA